CTTGACCCCACTCAGGTTCTTGCTGCATGAAGCCATCTGAGACACCACTTGTCCAAGAGTTCTATGAAGCAGCTGGGCAGCTGCTCACAGTAGCTCAGCTGACCCAGCCTTACAACAGCCATGAGGCCCTATTTATCTTCTCCTGGCCCTAGGTAGCACCTGGGCAGCCTACTCCGAGTGGCTTAGCTGGCAAAGTCATGGGCCATGTCCACCCTCACCCTCTTGGCTGTCCTAGAGACAGCCAGGAAGCCCCATTCACTCACCCTTTGTCCCAGGAAGCAGCCAAGCGGACTTCGTTGAGTTGCTCAGTCCACTGAGGCCCCTGGGAAGCAGCCAGGAAGCCTGATCTATCCCTCTACAGCCCCAGGAAGAAGTTGGGCAGCCCATACTCAGAGGCTCTCTCAGGCTGGCTCTGCACCCTGCTTACGGCTTCCTTCAGCAGGCGTTCCAGGTTCCTGGCATCTCTACTCCTTGGATCTCCATTGGAGCTTCCGCTTCACTATCAGCCTCTCACATCATGCTGTCAGAAGCTGTCTGCAGGGACTCAGTCCCTGCAGCACACTGGCTGGCCTCCCAGGGTTTCCACTGAAATTTCAGTGGACGCTTGCAAGACCCCATACGTCTTGCATTCTGTATGTCTGCAAAACCAGCATTACATGGACAATGTGAAACTCTATTGGCAGCATGAGGTACACTGGGGCCTACTTGAATCATGGCAGTAGCAGCTGCTGAGTGCCTTCATGGGAAAACAAATCCCAGGGGAAAAAATTCCATAAGCAGTCCCCCGTGAAAGCAAGACACAAGGGAGCCCTTTTCTCAAATGAAAGTCTTTGGAAGGAATTTACACTTACACCTTTGAGTCTAGGATAAGGAGGGGTCTATCCAATCCCCTCGATGCCCTCAAAAAGTCTCTTCTATTGTTCTGGTGCAAACTATGTGGCATCTTTTTTAACGATGTTAATCTCTTTAGTAACTGCACTCTCCTTGACACCATCTTTAAATGTGCTTTTTTTTTGTTTTTCTGGTCAAACTGAAAGTTTTCCAAATTTTTTTCTCTCTGCTCCTCTTTGCTCCTGATTCTCACTGTAAATTTGGCTAAAGCAGAAATATCCATGAAACTGCCTGAGTGCTGTGCTGACCTAAATTTCTTCCACCAGATAAACTAGTCTGTCACTTAAAACTTAGCCTCACACAGAGTCTCAGGGCACAGAAGCCAAATGGTTTGCCACAATTTATATGGGTGGATTCCAATATAATTCCCTATTTTTTATTTCCATCTGAAATTTTGTGAGCATAAGCTTTACTATCTGCATTTTAATCAGCATTCTGTCTTCTAAGCACTCACCAGAACTGCTCAACGAGTTCCACTTACAGAATTCTAGGCTTTCTCTAGTCTAGTTTTCTCCAATTCAAAGGGTATTTTTCTCCATCATTTCTACTATAGCCACAAGAATGACCCCAAACCAACCATCAACTTTCTACGTCAGTCATCTTTCTAGTATTATGACAAAATATCTGAGATAATCAACTTACAAAGAGGAAAAACTTATTTTGGCTCCTGGCTTCCGGAATTCCAGTTCACGGTTGATTGACCCCATTGTTTTGGAGCCAGTGGCAAGGCAGTACTTCATGGTAGAAGCATGTGGCAGAGAAGGCTGCTCACCTCATGGTAGCGAGGAAGTAAAGAGAGAAAGGGGCCAGAGTCCCAATAACCCCTTCAAAGGCACACCTCTTGACAGAACTTCCTCCCACTAGACCCACCTACTAAAGTTTCCACCAATTCCCCAAAATAGCATAGGCTGGGGACTGACTGGGATCATTTAAGATCCAAACTACAATACCAATTAAAAGGTCAAACTATTGACATATGGAAGGGCATAGGTGAGTCTCAAAGAATTGTCCACAGTGAAAAAAGCCAGACACAGATGTCTACTAAATGCATGGTTACATTTACATGAAATTCTAGACGAAGCAAAAGAATAGTGATAGAAAGCAGTCTTTGCTGAAAGTGGAGGGAATTGATTAAAAGAGCCAGGAGGGAACTTTGGGGAGCAATGGAAATATTCTCTATCATGATTGTAGTGATTACATGACTGTGCATTTATCAAGACTTATCAAACTTAAAATTGGTGAATGTCGTATGCAAATTATACTTCACAAACACTGCCTGTATATTTTTTAAATCCTTCTCTTAAAAATTTCTATAAATTTTGAAGTTTATAAAATATATATAAAAGGATATACAAATCAAATCAAAGTCTACGCACCTCAGTGAATTTTCACAAAGCAAACACCCATTTAAATAACAACCAAGGAGAGAAAGAGAATATTGTAAAATCAAAGAAGGCCCATTCATTCTCTGAAGTAAAAGTTTACTATTAATCTATTTTTTATCTTTCACTTGAATGAAATTGAGTTAGTCTTATCCAAAAAAGAGGTCTATCTGGCTTTTGCCTTATGCTCCTGGGAGGTGATCTAAACCCATGCAATGTTCTGACCAATCAGCTTGTGTGTTTGCCTGGGGACCTTAGACCAAGCAGTATCTGCTCAACCTCCAGAAGGACTGGCGAATAAGTCAGTCACATGCATGGTCAGCCATGTCTGCATGACTAAGTCTCAATAAAAACTCTGAACAACAAGGATTGAGCAAGTTTCTTTGGTTGGCAACACTCCACACATATTGTATTGTCATACAGTGTTACTGGAAGAAGTCACCTCTGTCCACAACTCCTTTGAGAGAAGACGACTGAAAACTCTGTGGGTGAACTCTGACCAATGTACCTCTTTCCTTGGCTGATTTTATTTTATATTCTTTTATTATAATAAACCATAACCAGGAGTATATCAGTGTCAAGGAGTTCTGTAAATCCTGTAACAAATTATCAAACCTGAGGGTGGTTTTAGGAACCCATGAACTTGCATTGTGCATCAGAAGTATGAGTGACTTTGGGACTCCTGAATTTTGTAGAAATCATATGGTATTATTTTGCATGTGGCTTATTTAACTCAGCATTATGTTTCTGAGACTCGCTCATATTGCAACTTACAAGTATAGCTCATTTACTTTAATTGCTTGTATTGTAATATATAAATTGACTATCATCTGCTTACTCTACTGTTGATGGACATTCAGAGAGATTTACACTATTGCACATGTAACAGGTCTACAGGAAAAAAATAGAAGAAATTCAGAATCACAGTGGGAGATTGTTAAGACATCTGTCTCAGCTCACAAGAACAAGCAGGCAAAAAAAATCAGTAAAAGCACATTTTTTATTATACAAATAAAAAGTTGTATAACAAATAAATAATCACTCAATATCTAAAACTCCCCTGAGTTTCCTTTAGGAGTAATAGTAACAAACATTTTCCAAATGCATACTATATTCTTATTCTAATCTAAGACCACCAAATATTATTGCTATGAATTTTCAGAACTCTTCCAATTTTACTGCTAAGAAAACTGAAGCACAGAATAGTTAAGAAATTTGCCCAAGGCCACAGCTAATAAATGTCAAATCTAGAATTGGAAATCTGATTCTAGAGCCAACTTCTGAATTGCTATGCTATTTTTTAACATCTTCTACTTCCTCTCTTTGAGCCAATTTTAAAACTTTTCATCTTCCTAGAAAATCATTTATTTCAGCTAGATCAAAAAACTTGTATTATTTGAACTTCAAATTTTGATGTGAAGTCTTAAAATTTTTATCAGAAATAAAACTATTGTTTACTCCCATGTTCTTTCTTCCCATATCGTGAATCTTCTTAAGTTCCTTTGGATGGTATAGTATATTTCAATTTTGTGCTGAAACCCCATGACAAAAATATTCAATTGGTCTCATCTAGGATCCTATTACCAATCATTGCAGATTTCTGAAAGTTTGATGCTTGGAGAGTAAACATCACTTACATTAGTAATAAGACATATAATTGTCTCAACAGCCATAATTCATAGAAAGCAATTTCCTTAAAACAGTCTTAAGCATGATCATGCAAAAGCAATGCCTGGTGCAGTAAAGTGTTTTTAAGTTATTTTAAAGCTTTTCTTTTCCACATGACAATGTGACGTATGGTAAATGTTATACTGTTATTCCTCTGGAAACTTGATATAAGTAGTAAGTTAATTGGGCTGCTATGCAATATTAAATAGATTTTTAAAATACCTGATTCTTCCTGAACAAACTATGACTAAACTAGAAATACCCATGAATGACACTGTAGCTTTGACTATAAGCAAATAGTTAGGTCTGCTTAGGAGGCAGATTTGGGTTGCTTTAGAATGTAAGTTCCACAAGCACAAAGGCTTTGTTCTCCTTGTTTTGTTTGTTGGGGTTGAGGATTGAAGCCAAGGCCTCGCTTGTATGAAGCATGTGCTCTTCCACTGAGCTACATCGCCTCTGTTCTTTCATGTTCACTGCTCCATTTCCAGTGTTCAAAAGCACCTGGTACATGGGAGGAGTTTAATGAGCATTTATTAAGTGAAGCTCCTATTAACTCATGGCTGATAATAATTTTACTGAGCACCCACTGCTATGTGTTAAGCCCTATGCCAGTAAGGTATGGTGATAAAGTGGTTATGATTTTAAAGGAGCTAAAGAGTCATAGATAAAACTTCGGATAATTATCTATTGACCAGAAACAATTTCTTTATTAAAATATTATATAATTACTTCACTAACTCATACATAGATTAGGTTCTTCACTAACATTTTATAACAAAAGGTTATCTTCAAAATGCTGTGCTCTTACCCAAGAATCCCAAACATTTCACAAATTCAATCACTTTTAAATACCATTCTAATAGGTGTGCAGGAGGAGCTTACATTTATGAGGTCAGCCAATGGTAATGACTGAATATATCTTAAGTAATATCTATTTCCAAATTTCTCTCAGGAGCTCTCCTTTGGTTCTTTTCCACAAGTTTTTTCTTTAATTAAAAGGACAATTAATTTAGTCTCTTTTTTAAACATCTAGGCATTTCTTCTCTACATATGGTCTGTTCAGTCAGACTTTTGAAGAATGACACACCAGTTTCCCTGATCATAGTAGCTTTTCAGAATGCTGACATTACTCAGAGTCTGGCAAGCAGCTTCCAGTTCTCCATCACAGAACACATGGTAGTAGCGATGAAATATAGAACTTGGGTCATGGGATCCTTACTGGACCAAATGGCTCAACAGCTTTGTCTTTACCAGAGTTTCCTTTGAGGTGCCAGGGAACCAGTACATCTTGAGAATGAAAAGAAGTCCTATTAGTATGAACAGGCAGCTCAGAATTAGTAACTTGTCTTGACTTACATCTTCTCTCCTGAACGTCACTGACGGAGGGGACAGAAGATGCTGAGTCTCGACTGCCCACGTCCGGCACTCGCTCCACAAGCAATCCTTCCACGGATGCATCACTGTTTATCTTCTCTTTTTTTCCTGGGCTGATTCTCTTTCCTCTCAGATACTTGGACTTCTGATTAGTATATTCTTGTTCCATTGCCCAGACGTAAATGAGTGCCTTTCCACCAGGTCTCAAGAGACGAACAAGTTCTTGGACAGCTGCCACTCTACGCTCCTAATAATAAAATAAAATAAAATAAAAAATATTGCCATTTATCAACCTGGAGTAGGTACAGAGAGAAAAATGTTAACACACAACTAACTGTAGGACTGTTTTCAAATACAATGAACAGTAATGAAATCAACAAAACATGTTATATGAAACAAAAGGAAAAAGAAAGAAGGGACATTTTATTCTGTGACTAAGAAAAACTGGCCTGCTGAGGAGAAGGACATTGTTATTTCTGTGACTTCCCTGTGACTACCTGTAACTGACTGGCTGGGGTACATGAAACAACGAGTGAGCCCCAATAGGGTTATTTAAGAGCAGTACTTTGTGGGACTTTTACGTGAACCATTACATTTTTATAATGCCTGTTTTCCAAAACCTGGTGTAAACTGTATTATGAGACTTCTACTTACAGTCTTCTTGAAGTACTGCAGGCTGAATCGGACAGCAACAATACCTAAGACAATTTGTTAGTTACAGTGTGGGGAAATAGAACGTGAGCAAGAGGCAGAAGTCTCCATGGCCAGAGAAGACAATAAGGCAAAGAGTCAGGGAAGTCACAGGAGCTAGGAACTAGGGGACAGAGTCACAGTCAAAGGAGGATGCAGGAAATGATGACAAATGGCTATATGCAAACCACCCTAGAGGCATTTTCCAATTCCTAGGCTGCATGAGCACTGAGTGAAATCCCAAAAAACCCTGGCAGAAGAGCAGCTGGAAAATTAAAATGCTAAACAGACATTTTAGTAGGCAAACAATGCTGAAGAAAAAGACACTGAGTTTAAGGACCACTTCTGTATATTGGCCATGGGATACAACCCAGGCATTCACCTAAGACCCCAACAGACCACATCCTAGAAGAAGAGACAAAAATAAAACATATAAATCAGTCCTAATAAAGCAGAAAGCCAATTCTTTACAGTATCAAAGTGATATGATACTGATCTGTTTATCCTAATTTAATCCTTTTTGGAGGAAAAGTATCCAAAACACTTAATACAAAATGCCCAGCATTCAAAAAAAACTATGAGGTATGTTAAAAACAAACAATCACGACCAAATGTTTGAAAAACAGAGAAAAAGAGACCATAAGATAAACACTGAAGCAAAGATTTTAAAATGACTGTATAATATGCTCACAAAACTAGAAAAAGAATTTCATTAAAGATATAAAATATATGAAGAATTTGGAAATTCCAGAACAGAAAAAAAAAAGAGATTAATTTAGCAAATTCAGGCATATCTTCACAGAGATCAGATTCAGGCCAGTATAAATTACTCAATTGAAGCACAGAGATGGGAAAGATTGAAAACACTGTCAATCTAGAATTCAAGACCTAGTGAAAATAATCTTTTAAAAATAAAGCAAAATAGATTTCAAATACACAAAAGAGAGAATGTCACCAGTATACCCACACTAAAAAAGAGCACGGGAATTCCTCAAGCAAAAAAACCTAGTCTCTCTGAAGAAACTAGGAAAAGAAGGAATAACATCAGAAATAGTAAATAATATGAAGAAATATAAATAAATATTGATAGCTTAAAATAACAAAAATGATATACAAAAAGAATACAATAAAGGCAGAAGAGGCCAAATGTCTTCCATTGTTAGGAAAGGGTAAATATGCCAGGTTAAGGTCAACTACAATGTTAAATCATAACCATTAAAAACAATAAATAACTAGTCAAGCTAAAAGAGGATGCTCTATATAGGTATTCCATTTGTGTCTGGGTTATTTCACTCAGAGAATGTCCTCAGGGTTAATCTATGTTGTAGCATGTATCAGAATTTCCTTCTCTTTTTGGACTGAGTAATACTCCCACAAATGTATATACAATATTTGAATAACACTGCTATGGATATGGGTGTACAAATATCTCCTTGGGTTCCTGCTTTCAATTCTTTTAAGTATGTATCCAAAAGTATGTATACTTTTGGATCCTATGTATTTTGAGGAACTACCGTTCTGTTTCCCCAGTGGCTGCACCACTCTACATTTCCACTAGCAATGCACAAGGATTCCACTTTCTACACATCCTCACCAACACTAGTTATTTTCTGTATTTCTGATAATAGCCACCCTACTGGGTGAGAACTGCTATTTCATTGTGATTTTGGTTTGTGAGTTCTGCATATATTATGGAGATTAATTTCTTATCAGATATATAATCTGCAAATATTTTCTTCCATTCTGTGGGTTGTATTTTCACTCTGCTGATAGTATTTGCATTAGGCAGACTTTTTGTCACTGTGATAAATACCTAAGAAACACAACTTAAAAGAGGAAAGATTTATTTTGGCTTGCTATTTCAGAGGTTTCAGTCAAGGTTGGTTGCCTCCATTGCTGTGGGCCAGAGGTGAGGCTGGACATCATGGCAAGGAGCATGTGGAAGTGCCAAGCAGCTCACCTCATGATACCCAGGAAGCAGAGAGAAAGAGACAAAGAGGGGACTGAGACAAGATATACAAGTGACACCCCAGTGACCTTCTTCTTCCAACTAGACTCCACCTCTGAAGGTGTCCATCATTCCCATAATGCCATCGGTTGATGAGTCCATCAGTTGATGAATGCACTGATTGGCTCAGAGCCCTCACGATCCAAACATCTCTCTATGATTGGATGCATCAGCTGGGGATCAGTCTTTAACAGGAGTCCTTCTGGGGGATACTGCATATCCAACCCATAACGCTGTTGCTTGATGTACAAATGTTTTCAATTTTGATGAAGTCAAATTCATTTTTTCTTTTGTTGCCGAGGCTTTTGGTATCCTATCAAGAAATTATTGCCAAATGCAATATTATGAAGCTTTTCTCCTATATTTCCTTCTTAGAATTTTACATTTTAGCTCCAGATATAGCTCTTTGGTCCACTTTGAGTTTTTGGTTTTTGGGTTTTTTTTTTTTTTTTTGTATACAGTGTAATGTAAGGATCTCACGTGTTTCTTTTGCATGTGGTCAATAAATAAATGACAAGAAGTATGGAGAAAAAGATGGATATGACAAATTTCTAAGAAGGTTATACAAGACTTCATACGGGGAGATGATCCAATATATATTTTCAGTTGCAAAAATGTGTGTATATACATATGTACTTATTTTTTGAAGGGCTTTGTGCTTGCTAGGCAGGCATTCAACTGCTTGAACCATGCCCCCAGTTCTTTTTTTTTTTGTTAAATTTTGAATAGGGTGTCACAATGATGCCCACTTCAACCTGGACCTCAACCCTATTTATCCTTCCCACATAACTGTGATGACAGGCAAGTGACACCAGGCCTGGCTTTTACTGGTTCAGATGGGGTACTGGGAATTTTTTTGTCTGAGCTAGCCTGGAGCCCTGATCCTCCCAAACTCTGCCTCCTGAGTAGCTAGAATTGCAGGCATGAGCCACTATGCCGAATACTGACTTCCTTTTATAACTTAAAGATAGACAGTCCACTGTCACTGACTGAACTGTGGTTGAAGGGACCAAAGTATGCCAAACACTTCTCATAAATTAAGGTATTTCTAAAATTTGCTGGTACAACTGCTGCTTGCAAACCTTTCTCTTGTTGCAATAATGCCTCCAAGTGTGCTGATGGCTGTGGCTTTGGCTAGAAAGATCCCCCCCCTTACACTGTTTGCTGCAGCCCAGAAGAACCTCTTAGCTACTATTAAAAAATTAAAAGCTAGTACCTGAAGAGACAAATGACAGGGAGTTTTCTGATTTGTTTTATTTTGAACTTAGTTAAGGTCATAAGGGCTAATCAAAGTGCCAGTAACTCCGAAGGTGATCTGTAAAGTTCTTGTTTTTTTAATTTTTATTTCGTTTTTGAATTAGCATACATTAATAATATGAGGAAAAATTCTTGTATAGATCAGGGAGAAACTATGAATACTCAGGAAAAATAGGTGAGGTTTTTCTCTTGCCTTTATGGAAAATGTAAAATATTAAAATTACTATTTAAAAATTAAGGCCATTTAAAAAATTTAGTCAACATACTACTAACAGCTAAAAAAGACAAGAGCTTTAGAGAAAGAACAGAAGCAGAATAAAAACAAAATAGAAAGGAAGGAAGAATCACATGTCAGTGACAAAAGTGTGGGTTGAAAAAGAAAAATGAGAAAGTGAATCAGAGTCTCAGAGTCTAAACTAAAGCAGATACTTTAAAGCAACTGAGGCCAATAGAAGAAGGGGACCAGGAATAGAGAAAAGGTTAGATCAAAAAGAATTAACCTAGAAGGTAACACACATGCACAGGAAATTAATGTGAGTCAACTCCCTGTATAGCTATCCTTATCTCAACTAGCGAAAACCCTTGTTCCTTCCTATTATTGCTTATACTCTCTCTTCAACAAAATTAGAGATAAGGGCAAAATAGTTTCTGCCTGGTAGTGAGAGGTTAGGAGGATAAAGGAGGGGGTGGGGGAAGGAGGGAGAAATGACCCAAACATTGTATGCACATATGAATATAATAAAAAAAGAAAAAAAAAGAGTCTCAGAGTCTGAGAAAGAGTACACTCGAAAGGCCCAGAGCTGGTGATATCAAAGTCTTATCCAGCTAAACTTCTGGGATTCAGTGGGTTTGTTTTACAATAGTAGAGATTGAATCCCGGGCTTCTGCTTGATCTATACCTCCCCACCCTTTTGTTTGTGCTTTGATTTGTTATTTTGGTGGCCTAGAACTCATGATCCTCCTGCCTCTACCCCCCAGATAGTCAGGTTTACAAATGTGTATCACCACACCAAGTGACCACGAATTTGAAGGAAGGAATTTAGAAGAGAATAAGGCTTGGATTAGAAAAAAGGTTAAGTGCTCGCTTCAGTAACACATATACTAAAAAAAACAAACCAAAACAAAACAAATCTTGGAACACAACAAGGGGATTGGACTTTGATCACATGATAAAGAGAGAGCACACTTGGGAGGTATGAGGATAGGTAAGACACCCAAAAATCTAGATAGTATTTGTTGCCCTAAATGCAGAGAAACTAATGCAGATATTTTAAAGCGACAGAGGCCAATAGGAGAAGGGAACCAAGAACTAGAGAAAAGGTTAGTTCAAAATTAATTTAGAAGGTAACACACATGTATAGGAAAGCAATGCAAGTCAACTCCCTGTATAGCTATTCTTATCTCAACTAGCAAAAACCCTTGGTCCCTCCTATTATTGCTTATACTCTCTTCAACAAAATTAGAGATAAGGACAAAATAGTTTCTGCCTGCTAGCAAGGGGGTAGGGGGGGAGAGAAAAGAGTGGGGGGAAAGGGAAGGGGTAGAAGAAAGGGGGGAGAAATGACCCAAACATTGTATGCACATATAAGTAAAAAAAAAAAACCTTGGAGTGATACAGAGATTAGCATGGCCCCTGTGCAAAGATGACACGCAAACTTGTGATGCATTCCATTAAAAAAAGGTTAAAACAGTAGTAAGTACACAGAGTTCCATCAGGCCTGTGCTTAGGTAAACAGAAGTAGTGGTGGTTCATGCCTACAATCCCAGTACTGGGGAGGTACAGGAAGGAAAGTCACAAGTTCAAGGCCTGCCTGATCTACATAGTAAGTTCCAGGGTAACCTGGGATACACAGAGAAAACCTGTCCCAAAACAAACAAACAAGAAAAGAAAAGAAATGGAAACAGATGAAAAGCTAAAATGGGTCCAAAATCAGTTAAATCCGTGAACTTTTCCTGTCACTGTGCTACAAGTTCTTGGAGAAGAAAAAGTGATACTTACTGCAGTTGCAAAATGGTGGATAACAGCAATGGAGATGCAGGCATCACAGAACCCGCTGCGCATGGGAACTGCCAGTGCATCACAGATGAAGGCCTGGAACTGTCTCTCTCTACAAATGTCCACTAGGTTTTGGCTACGATCACAACCAATCTGCAATACAGGAAGAAAACAAATTTCATGATGCTTTGTTTAAATATCAAAAGAAATTAACAGCTGTGGTTTATTCTATACCTCAAAGTTATCAGATAGATTTCATATCCACGATGAAATAGCCTGAGACAACGACATTATCAGTTCTCACAGCCAGCACAAAGTCAGAACACATAATTATTCAAAACAGCACCTATTACCAACATATCATATAGAATTCACCGTAGTGACTGGAAACAAAACGACAATAGAAATGGGAGGTCCAAATTTGCTCTGGATTGCTCACCATTCAAAATCAGATCTTTCTGTAATATTATACGTTTTAAAAATTCAAAATTATCTCCAAAACATAGATATTTAGTCTTCTGAGAGAAGCTACAAATATGACTAAGGGGAGTTACATGTATGAGTTTCTTTCATACTGTGTATACTATATTGTGATGGCTCAGATAGGAGGATCTTTTCCTACTTCTTTATACTTTTCAACATGTATTACTTTATAATCTGAAAAATCCAATCAGTTGTTACCAAACAACAAAAAAAGTAAAATAACTTCTTTCACTCTTCAAAGCTTCTTGAATCTTTTTCTGCTAAACTCCTAACCTTATGAAGATTCCGAATTTTGTTTTTAAAAAAAAAAAAGCTGCTTAGTTAACCTTTTAGTACAACCAAACCAGCCTGGGGAACAACGTCACTGAAAGCAGCAAGCAACATGCCTTCCTCCTCCCCAGCAAGTGAAGCCCAATGTGACTTATACACATCTGTGGTTCTGTGGACCAAAACTAGGTTCTCCCTAGTTTTGTTTTTTTTTTAAATGCAGTTTTCCTGTTTAGTTCTATACACACACACACACACACACACACACACACACACACACTATACACACCCCTTCACACAATTGCAACGTGCACATGTACATTGGGGAAAGAATAGGGTTTCAGAAATGTTAAATCGCTAATTAATAATTATCTCCAGACATTTCTTCTTAACCCAATTCCTACAATGGGGAAAAGAATTGTTCAAGCAGTTAAACAAAAGTGGCTAGTTCCAGCTCATATTTACTCATTTAATTTTACAGACTAATGAACACTGATCCTAAGGGTTCTTTCAATCTTTGAGAATAAACCACAATGTCATCCTGGCCATATTTAATGAGTTTGGTCAATTTCCAATTGGAATTAAAAGCTTCTATAGTCTATCCCAGAGCTGCTTAACTTCCTGAAGTGGAACAAAAGATACTAAGCTAGAGGTAAAATATAGTAAGTTCTCTTTGACATATTTTATGATGGCAAAGTATTATGGGGCTACTAATAACAACAGTGGAACAATTCCCAAGTCATTGTTCCCTTTATCTGTTTAAGATCCATACCTAGCTTATTGCTTTTATTTATTTTCACTTGTGTGCTATGCCACTCAGCCAACAGTCACATCTCAAGATGACAATACCACTCAAATAATATACATCTTATATTCTGAACTTGCCATCTTTTGTTACATTTAAATTCAGTTCACAGTATAAGGCAGCTAAACCCTACTAAAACGCAACAGGAAGAAATCCAAGTTGACAAGTAAAATAAATCCTCAGAGATAGGGCTCAATAGTTATTCAAAGGAGTAAAGTTATCTGAGAACCACAGATAAAACAGAACAAGAACAACAATAGTCAAACAAAACGAGGAAATTTCTTTCTTTCTCGTCAGACTCTCCTGGCAATTTGTACACAGCACTCCTTTTTACCTAAAAGAATGAGCACAGGCTATTTTAGTAATAACACACCAGGTCTATTACAGAGGTCCTACTGACTCAGTCCCATGAGTCCTGGGACTGACTCATGGTTGGCCCAGGACTTTCATCTTTCATTTACTTTGCTGGAATATTCTTTTTACCACAGTTGAATCACATTTCTCCTCTTCTCTTTCTAAATTCCTTTAAGTTTTCAAACTAAGGATAGCATCAAGTATCTCAAATTCTCCCTAATAACGCTGTATACTGTCAACAGTGGGGCAGAAGATGGCTTATTTATAAACACCTGCATATATTCAGGGACACTTGTAAAGCTACATGTCTCTATATGTCAGATGGACAGCAATGACATAAAAATACATTGCATTTTTACTCCTCTGAGTTTTTTAAACCTCCAGCAAAACATTAAATATGCAGATCTGCCAGTATAGATACACAAAAAAAAATTCTACCTAATACTCAAAGGTGTGAATGAAAACAGTTCTATTTTTATTAAACTATCAAAATATTTTAAAAACCAAAATATACCAGTGATGACATTGTGATAATGTTGGTGAAAGTACAAATCGGTTCAACCATTTAAACAGCTAATAGGCAAGCTATTTTTAATTAAATCAAAATGCTCATAACTTTTAACCCAATAATTATTCTTCTAAATTTATTTAAGAAAATAATACAAAATATGGAAGAAGCCAACCAGGCTAATAGCAATTGTCTTTTGCTAGGTTCCTGAGTTATTAAAGCAGATTCTTTGTTATCAATGCACTTAATCCTCTTAATATACTTTGAGTTAGTGAGTAATGTCACCATATTACAGATGAAGAAACTTCACCTTAAAGAAAGTAACTTGTCCAAAGTTGACCAGAAGTGAAGTGTTAGAGCCTATTTCCTATCTGAATATTTAAGATGAATGTGTCAGGTAACATGCCTCTCACAGATATTTTCATGGTCAAAAATGGCTGCTCAATAAAATAAATACTCATATATCAATGCCTCATCCAGGGTGGAGACTGGAGTGCTTTAAAAAAGTATGCTCCTCTTTTATTGAACATAATTCCATTTTCTGGTATGGTGAAATCTTTAGTCAGGCACATGGTTTTCATTCACATATTGAACCAGGTCTTCACGAGCCTTGGCTGGAGGTCAGGCTGCAGCGATCCCAGAAACAAACATGGAGACCTGGTACACTCAGTGTTACCCCAACCCTTCCAAGCAAGTTCCTTCCTGAATCAGGCGCAGGCTGTGTTCAGTGTCATATTTATGAAGAAATCCGTCGTCTTCATTGTTACAGTATAATGTTGTCATTATGACCAAGTCGGTGCGGCTGACGTCAGCCTAGTGTCACGCGCATAAACCTGACTTGGTAAAGCCATGGTTACCGATCAGGAGCAAACGCAGAGCCTCTGGAGCAACCCCGAACGGAACGTGGAGGTTTGGAAACCCTGGACGGTGACACCTGCTCGCCTGTCCCGAGCTCGGGTCAGAATGGTGATTTGACATGACACGTGCGGAACCCGCTTGTGGCCGGCGGCGGCCCGCGGCGGGGCGGGGGTGTCACCGCGGGCCCCGGCCGGGCCATGGCACTGCTGGCCGAGCACCTACTGAAGCCGCTGCCTGGGGACAAGCAGATCGAGACCGAGCCCTTCCTGGACGCGGTGTCCCACCTGCCGCCCTTCTTCGATTGCCTGGGCTCGCGGGTGTTCACGCGCATCAAGGCAGACGTAACGAGCAACATCTTGAGTATCAGGGCCGTGTATGACAGCGACCCAGCCAAGTTCCAGACCCTGCAGCACATCCTGCAGGAGGAGAAGGAAATATACGGGGTGGAGTGGCCCAAAGTGGGGGCCACGCTGTCGCTGATGTGGTTGAAGAGAGGCCTCCGCTTCATCCAGGTCTTCCTGCAGAGCATCTGCGATGGGGACCGGGACGAGAGCCACCCCGACCTCCTCCGCGTCAACGCCACCAAGGCCTACGAGGTGGCGCTCAAGAGGTACCACGGCTGGATCGTGCAGAAGTTCTTCCAGGCGGCGCTGCACGCGGCGCCCCGCAGGTCCGACTTCCTGCAGGCGCTGTCCAGGGGGCAGTGCGTGCCCGAGGAGGTGTGTCTGTGCAACATCCGCCTCTTCCTGGTCAACTTCACCGCCACCGTGGACGCCATCTACGAGCTGTACGCCTCCATGAACGCCGACCTCAGCTACAAGGTGTAGGACCCAGCAGGACAGGCACCCATCTACCGGGTCTGCAGGGGGCTGCCCGAGCAGTCCTAAAATTTTTTCAGGGAAGGGGGGTATCCTAATGTAGCAATAAATACCAATCCTCCTTCCAAATCTCCTTCGAATTTCATGAGAACACAGACTGTACACCTGCACTGCAGTGTGATCAAAACCAATTAACACTGCCAATAGTTCAGGTGGTAAGGGTTTTGGTTTTGTTTTCTCTCCAGGAGCCAGGCTAGGGGACCGGTGAGCACTTCACTCTGTAGAGAAACATAAATGCTTAGGAGGATCTCACCACCCAACAGGTATTTTCAGACCCATGAACAATTTATTGGAAATGATGCAGGGTCCCTACTGTGGCATTTTTTAAAAAAAAGACTGATGTGTTTTCTTATGTGGTTTGCATAGCTCAGCCTCACAGCACTGTCAGTAGAAACCCTGCTCTCTGTCCTCTGCCAGATGGCTTCCATAGCTAAAAACCCACAGCAAGCCTTTTCAAGCTATTGACCAGGCACAGCCAAATACATGACCGCATTTGCATTCTTCAGGGACAGTGTGCCAATCTAAGAAACTACCCACCACAGGAAGTCTCTGGAGGAGGACAGGTGAGTCCTCCAGCTGCAGAGACCCACAATGGAGACCTGAGAAACTGCCTCACTGCCTTAACTGCTCCTCCTGGCATTAAAGCATTGGGGCAAACAAAGCAACACCAAAAGAACTGATGTGTGTTAAAAAAAAAAAAAAAAGAGGAGCAATGAGTGATTTATATGCAGAAACTAAATAGTCCTTAATAAATCTACTTTGGAATTGTAAAACTCCCTCTTTAACATGAACAAACCTATTAGACATTATTTATAAACGGAAATTTATTTGTAAACACAATATACGCATGTCAGTATCTCATCTTGATGAAAAGCTATTCTTTTATCTACCTTTTAATGCTGAACTCTGCCTTTCCTCAACTGCAGTGGTAACTTTCTTTCTTCATGTGGGTGCATAGTATCCAGGATGGGGTAAAAGCAAAGATCTTAAGCAGTCTGACATGCTGCAGTAACCCAGGGATGTAGACTGCTTTCACTCTCCTTACCTATTCCACAATTCTAGTCCTTCCTCCTCTCATCTTGACAAAGGGAAGCTCTAGTCCTCACAGAGCTGCATTAATATGAATATTTACAACACTGTATGACAGCACTGAGAACTTACTAATATTTAGCAGAGAAAAAAAGAGTCCACAGAAAAAGAAATAATAGCAACTAAGAATAGACACTTTGGAGTCAGACAGAAACAGATTCAAATCCTCACTCTACACTATAAAGTTGGTGAAGTTTTAAATCTATTTGAGCTTTAGCTTCCTCAACAGGAAGATGCCAATAGAAAATAACATTTTTTCCTACTATGAGTGAAAGAACACTAGACTTGGAATCAGAAGGTATAGGTTCAAGTTTCTGTTAAATCCCTCATATGACATCAGAGAAGTGAGATAATTTATGAAGTCTCAGTTTCTTATTTATAAAAGTGATTGTCTACTTTATCTTTTTCAAATTAGGACCAAGCAAAGAAAATGGTTTCTAGAAATCCTTTCTAATCTGTAAAGTGTTTTGTTTTGGCGATACTAGGGTTTGAACTAAAGGCCTCTATCTTGCTAGGCAAGCTCTTAAGCCAAGCTGCCAGCCCTTTTTGATTTGGACATTTTTGAGATAAGTTCTCACTTTATGCCTGGACTCTGATTCTCCTATTTATGCTTCCCCATGAAGCTGGGATGACAGGCATACACCATCATACCCAGGCACTGGTTGAGTTGGGGATCTCATGAACTTATTTTTGCCAGGACTGATCTCGAACTGCAGTCCTCCCAATCCCTGACTCCCCAGTAGCTCAAATTACAGGCCTGAGCCACAGTACTCAACCTTGTAAAGACTTATTAAGGTGAAATAGTTTACTGGTAAAATAATTGTATCAGAAAGCAAAATTACAAAAACTACACATGACACCATGCCCATAAATGTCTAGAGGAATAAAAAAGAATGGAGCCACTCATTAATTATCAAGCTGTTTGTTACAACTTTCCTGTACTTGCCTACAAAGCAGCATATGTCATAGAAGGAAAGAGCACTAACCACTGCAAATAAAGGCAAAAGGGAAGTCAGAAGTGACATCACTTGCCATGTATAAATCCTTATTGATGCCAAGATACTTTCCATTTCCACATCCAATATCAGCCACTATTGAGCCACTTGGCAAAGCCTTCAAAAACTCCACAATGCATGGCCACGGAGTATGCCTTGTACTGCTGAAGTGCCCAGCAATCTTTTCATACACTCGATGAACATACTCTTGCTCCAGCAGTGATGCTTCTTTAGCATTCTCTGGAAATGAGGGAGAAGTCTCTTTCCTCTGGCTGTCACAGACTGAAGAGTAACCTAAATGAAAAAATAAAGCAATATAAACTTTTCATTTTTATCCAAATGATTTATAAGGTACCAAGTTTTCTTCCAAGAAAATTGATGCAAATTTAGTGACTAAGGAAAGACAGGCTCTGATATATCAGTTAAAAACAAACAAACAAAAAAAATCTGTTGCTAAGCATGGTGGTACACACCTGCAATCCCAGCAACTTAGGAGGCTGAGGAAGAAGGACCATGAGTTCAAGGCCAGCCTGAGCTACATAGCAAGTTCCAGGCCAGCCTAAGCTGCAGTGACATCTGTCTCAAGCAAGCAAACCACAAACAAACAAAAAACCTCTTTCCTAACAAGTCCAAATGTATGTATAAGAGCCAAACATAAAAAAGGAAAAAATCCATTTGTAACAAATCATGACTACAATTCTGCATCTGCCTTAGAATGAAGATGCCTACTTCACCTTGGAATAAGAGTTCTTTTATTCATGAAAGGACCTAGATTGTTCTAGACTGAGAGAAATTTATCTAAAGTAACAGAATTTAGGGTTTTTCTCTTGGCAAATAAAGATTAGAGTTGTAGGGGCCCTAACACCTTCAGATGAAAAACAACATACACAAGTAGCAAGTCATTCTGCAATAATCACAAGGATTACTGAGTACCAGTTGAACCAGTTTACATGTAGTATCTCAGTTCTCACATTAATATTAAGAAGAAGTAGGGTTGAGTAACAGTGGGTCAGGTCTGTAATCATAGCTACCTAGGAGGCTGAGATTGGGAGGATCACAGTTCAAAGCCAGTCCAGGCAAAAAAGTTTGTGAGACCCCATATCAACAGAAAAAAGCCGGGTGTGGTGGCATGTGCCTATCATCCCAGGGATGGCAGGAAGCATAAAATAGGAGGATCACACTCCAGGCTGGCCTAGGCAAAAACAGCAAGACCCCCATCTCCAAAATAACCAGAGGAAAAAGGGCTGGAGGCAGGGCTCGGGTCACAGAGTAAGTGTCTAGCAAGCACAAACCCTGAGTTCAAACTCCAGTACTGACACACACACAAAATCATATATACAAATCATATATATATGTGTGTATATATATATATATATACCTTATATACATACATGTATACACACACATATATATACTCTTGAAATTGTTCTAAGAAGGGGGCATGAGGGAGAAATAAGCAGGGGTGAATCTAATTAAGATATATTGTAAGCAGAGATGAAAATGTCTCAATGTATCGCTCCTGTACAATTTATATGCTAGTAAAAAGACAGAAAAAAATGATGAAGTAGGAACTAGTACATCCACCTCAAATGAGGAAACTGCAGCACATAAAAGGTTAAATAACATTCCTAAATCACACAGCCAAAGCCTGAACCCAGGCAGTGTAGACCCCAAACCCCATTCTCAATGACTACACTGTGTAGCCTTCTTCCACAAAGCCAGCCCAGGGAGAACCACTGAGCACAGGAAATTTAGGGCACAATGTTTCAAAATAATTTTGAAGTTCCCTGTTCTATGTAAGAATGTCTAATACAAATTGTTAATTCTTGCCTGTTCTCTCCAATGCTATCATCTCTGCCAAAGGCTGTGACACACATTTTTCATGGGCTGGGCTCTAGGGAATAAAGAATAACGTTCCCAAGAAACCAGAGGCAAGACTGAAGCAATAATCAGAAATCACACACAGCAGAGAATTTGGTGCAGTGTTCATAGCTGACATAAACTTCTTCCTAAATATAACCAGACTGTGCTATACCTTGAGAAAGCTTAAGATGGGGATGGGAATATTTAGTCCCTGAGAATGGGTAAAAGAAACTCTAAACCTTGTAAATGGGTATTTAAGAAAAAGGGTAGTCCCCCAAACCTTGAGGGCTCTAAAACACCCATGTACAAACAGATGGGTTATATAATATTACAAGAGCATGATGATGTATGTTACAATTATCCCAAACTGGATTTAGTAAAATTTTATTCTCTTGAAAATTATGAGCATCTAAGTTGTCTAAAGGGAGGGACAACTCTTTTCACTTAAAAATTTATAAATTTTGACCAAAAGTATACAAAGGATAACCTTAAACTTAAAATAAAAACTCACAACTTCTCAAGAAATCATATCTGTTACTCGCTCAGAAGCAATATTATTGGGTAACTCCAAAGGGCTGGGGCCGTTCTTTTGAAGTTGCCTTTATCTCTTCAGGGGTGTGATAGGCAACATTTGGAAGGAAAAAAATGAATTGGTCAAAACAGGAACAGGAGCAAATGATGAAAATTACTATTTCATGTTGATAAACTCAATAAATTATGCTAACAGTACAAAAGTAAATAAAATAAAATAAAAACTCACTAATTATCAGAGAAATGCAAATTAAAACCACAGGATATATCACCTCACACCTGTTAGGGTAGCTATTATAAAAAAAAAAAAAAAGACAAAGCATAGCAAGAGTTAGCCAGGATGTGGAGAAAAGGGAACCCTTTCACCCTGTTAGTGGAAATGAAATTAGTCATTAAAGAAAATGGTATGGAGGTTGCTCAAAAAACTAAAAATAGAACTACCATACAATCCAGCAGTCTCACTACTGAGTACATATATCCAAGGGAAATGAGATATATGTGTGTCGGTCAGATGTCTGCACTCCCATGCTGCAGTGTTACTCATAATGACTAAGTTCTAGAATAAGCCTAAGGGTCCATCAACAAATAAATGGATAAAGAAAATGTGGGACAATACAATACTATTTTCCCCTAAAACAGAATGAAATCCTGTCATTCACAACAACATGGATAGCCCTGGAGGACACACGTGAAGTTAAATAAGCTGCTACAGAAAGACAAATACTTCCTGATCTTCAAAAGCAGAACAGAATGTTGGTTACTGGAACTGGAGATAAGGGGGAGGGTGTTGGGAAGATGTTGGTCAAAGGAAACAAAATTTCAGATGGGAGGATTAAGTTCAAGAGATCTCCTTTACAATATGGTGACTACAGTTAATAATAATGCACCATATTCTTTAAAATCACTAAGAGAATAGATTTTAAGTGTTCTCACCACAAAAACATATTTAATGTAATGTATATGCTAATTAGCCTGATTTAGCCATTCCATAATGCATTCATATTTCAAAACACAATGTCAATTAAGAAAATATCTGCAGGCTGGCAGAGTGACTCAAGCATTAAGAGTGCCTGCCTAGGAAGCATGAGGCCCTGAGTTCAAATCCCAGTGCTGCCAAAAAGAAAAATTGCAAACTTAATGCCCAGTCAGAGCTTTTTAGAGCCCCTCTTACAGTTAATAAATGCTATAATGAAGAAACATTTGCATAAGAAAACCAGCTTATTCCTCCAAATAGATGTTAGTATCTTGAGAACAGGAGTTATATTTATTTTCCTACACCACATAAAGCTACTGGTGGCAGTCTTAGATACTCATCAAATACTGAACATATTTTAATTAAAAAACTGACATTTTAAGGCCTCAAGAACACTTTTAGCAAAATAAGCAAAAAAATTGTTTTAAGCTTCACTACAAGCAGGATATTAAACACAGAGATTTCAAGTTTTCCAACAGGATAACATCTAATAGATTTAATAAGGGTTTTTAATTCAAATGTTTTTAAGATTATGATTAAATCCAAAAGCTACTGGTAGATATGAGCCATAATTGAAACCCTCACGATACAAAAAAGGATTTTACTGTCATTATAAACTATTATTTGTAAAATGAAAAACTTTTCAGTTAATTGGGTCTAAGAAATCCAGAGCATGATGTACTTATATAAACAATTCAAAATAGCATTCTCCTGACAAGATTTTGTAGAGTTCCTTTTAGCCCCTTCCAAACTGACTTAACCATAAACCACTGCTTATTCCCCTAGAGTCATCTACCATAGAGCCATTTGTCATCTCCCACTTCCCTGTTGGGTTAATAAAAAGTAATTTAGAAACTTGACAAGCTGTTTCCAACAAAAACGTATTTTTGTACAAATGATATTTTATTGTCTTACAATTCTAGCACTCTGAACTGTTACTCCAATAAATAAAATATTTTCTTGGCACTCAACTATGTTAAAGAACTAAGTTTGGGGAAAAATAAAGATGATAAATGCAGATCCTGCCTTCAAAGAATATAAACACTAATGGGAGTGGTTCAGAAAAGTATGTGAAAGCATAGTACGAGCCACAATACAGGAAATGCCAGTAGAGAAGCTAAGAGAAAGCTGTCCTAGGTACTGACCACACTTAAAAGGATTTTCACGCTTGACTTACTCCATTTTATAGTAGAAATGAAAGCATATACTTACTACAGTTACAAGGCGTGTGTCTCACTTTCCTAAATGTAAATGATGTCCGTACTCCTCTCTTGCTCAAAGTTAAGTCTCCAATGTCACTGGTGATAATTCCACTGTTATAATGCCCAGATGCTTGAACGGTATCAAATTTTCTAGGTGTTATTCTAAAAACAACAGGGAAAATAACTCACTTAACACTCTACTCGAAAAATTTTTCACATCTCTTTTAAAAATGTTGAGCAAATAGAGCAAATATAGAAGAATTTATTGCAAATATCTGTTGGATTCCCTGAACTGTTAGGGAAAAAGCTATTGTTTTTGTGGAAAAAAGTAAAGAAACAGAAGTAATTAAGGAAATTATCTTCAGGATAATAATAATATAAAGGACACATAACCAACAAGTCATACTAGAGGAAAATAACATTCAATTAGTACAGATGGGACAAAGAGGACACAAATGGATGGCAAATTTAAATCTAATTTCAATAATTATGGTAAATGTAAAAGAACTGAAAACTCCAATTAAAAAACAAAGATTGCTGAACTGTATTTAAAATTTTCAATCCAACTACGTGGTGATTATAAGAGACACATCTTAAATATAAGCACAGAAACTGGTTGAAAATAAAACATCCAAATATATACACACATATGTGTGTGTGTGTGTGTGTATATATATATATATAACATACAAAACAAACATTTGGTCATACTAAATAAAACCAAAAGAAAAGTGATACAGCTATACTAATCAGAAAAAGTAGACTTTAAGGCAATAAGTATTACTAAAGATAATAAAGAGACATTTCATAATGAAAATAGTCAACCAAACAAGAAAGTTTAAAAAAACCCTATATCTTTGTCCATATTCAACTAATAACAATCTCAAAATAAGTGAAGCAAAAGTTTTTTTTTTTAATCTAACAGGAAAAAATAGACAATATATGATTATCATTGGGTTAATACATCTTTCTCAGAAACTGAAATCTAGTTTAGGGCCAAATATATCAACATCAGGAAAAGATAGATAATGGGATGAAAAAGTATACGATTAACTCTTAAATCATGTAGCGTAGATGCAATAAGTAAAACAAAAATGGAAAACAGAGAGAGAGGTACAAACTATTGTGGATTGTAAGAAGTTTTAAAAAGGATCCTTGGGATAAGGTCAGATTTTGGAATGGGAAAAGGGAATTCTTAAGGAAGAAGACAATTTACACAGTGAAATTCACAGACAAGTGCACAGTACAATGAGTTTTGACAAATGTATACACTCATGAACCATCATGACCCTCATCACCCAGTTTGGGACTACTACAAATAACGTTCTGTAAGCATTCTTACAAACATCATTGTAGATATACAGTTTCATTGCTCTTAGGTACAGACCTAGAGTGGAATCGATGGGTCATAGAGTAAGAAACTCAGTTTTCCTGAGTGGTTACATAACTTCATACTCTAGCTCCAACAAATGAGAGTTCCAGGCTGCCTGGCATTCTAACCAGCACTTGATATTGTCAGGGTTGTTAATTCTGGCCATTTTATTGTGTACTAAGTGATTTGAAACTGTGGTTTTAATTTTCATTTCTCTGATAACTAATGATGCTCTACACCATCCCATGTGCTCAGTGGCCACTCACAGAATTTTTTTTTTGATGAAGAATCTATTTAATCTTTTGTCCCTAGTCCTATATATGCATACAGCAGACATTTTCTCCCCGTATAGCTGTCTTCTCATTGTCTTAATGATATATTTTGATGAGCAGAAGTTTTCAATTTGTTTTAAAGACAGGATCTCTCTATGTGGCCCAGAATGGCCTGGAACTTGTGATCTTCCTGCCTCAGCCTCCTGAATTCTGAGCCACGATGCCCAATTCAGAAATTTTTAATTTTGATGACACCTAATTTTTATTGTTTTTCTGTAATGATGTTCTGAAATCTTTGTACAAAAAACTTTAGCTACTCCAGGGTTGCAAAAATATTCCTTTGTATTTTCTTCTAAATATTTTATAGTTTCCACTTTTACATTTAAATCTATGATCTACTTCAAATTAATTTTTGTGACTGCTATGAAATCAAGATCCACTTTATTTCCAATGAATATCTAGCACCTATCAAAAAATTTCCTTTCCACATTTAATTACACTGGTGTCTTTGTCAAAAATCAACTGACTTATATGTGTGTATACACTTCTAGACTCTATTCTGTGCCACTGATATTTGTCTACCTGAACAATGACACTACATTCTTTTGCTTATGTTCCTATACAGTAATTCTTGAAAATAAGGTACAAAAAAAATCCCTCAACGTTGTTCTTCTCTATCAATATCATTTTGAATATTCTATATCCATCACATTTCCTTATTGGAAATGTGCTTGTCAATTTCTAACAACAACAAAAAAAGCCTCTTAGGATTTTGATTGGAATTACATTGAATCCACATATCATTTAAGGGCAACTAAGTTTCCTACCCATGACCATAGCATCTTATCCCTCTGTTTAGTCTTCTCTTATTCTTCTCAGCAACAGTTTCAGGAACCTCAGTGTATACATGATGATATCTTTTCAAACTTTGTTTACTTGATTTATTCTAGCAAAGCTATCTCCCTATAGAAGTGGGTTTCATATACCCAGGGAATGTACTAAGCCTAAAAGAGCTCAGTAAATTATATAAAAGTAGAATTTAATATTTGAGATGTTTATTCTTCTTTATTAAGACCCACATAAGTAACCCCAAGGTGAAACTCTCTTGAACAATCAATATGTACTTTAAAAAAAAAAAGGACAAGAAGGTAAAACAGATCTTGTCCAGGGATGAGGCCACGTGGGAGAAGAGAAGGTAAAGAAGGGTGAATATGGTGGATATACTTTATATCACCTATGAAAACAGAACAAGGAAATCTATTGACATTGTTCTAAGATGAGGAGGAGGGAAAGAGGAAGCATGATGGAGGAGTGAATCTAAGTAAGATACATTGCAAGGACACATACGTTGCAACTAATTTTAAAGTTTTTTTTTCTACAGAGGATCTAGAAAAGAAGTTTGACCATTCTCCTAAAATACATTTGATCCTAAAATGAAAAAAAAACTTCAATTCTTAATTTTTACTGCTATCATTATATTATTTTACTCTACTTGCTATTAAGAATCATAACTCTCAGGCTCACTCTCGTTAAATAACACCACAACAAATCAATCATGAATAATTTTCGTATTTTTGCAGGTCTCAATGCTACTTTAAATAGCATTTTTATTTCTTTTTCCAAAAATCAATTTTTAGGGCTGGAAGATTAGCTCAAGTGGTAAAGTGCCTGCCTAGCAAGTATGAGGCCCTGAGTTCAAAACCCAGTACCACAAAAAACAATAATTTAAATATTGACTTTGTATGTTAGTACATCCATTAATTAGTTCTAGTACTGGCTTGGTGGATTTCCCAAGATTTTCTACATCTACAGTAACATAATCCACAAATAAAGAGTTTTACTGCTTCCTTTCCAATTGTTGAGAATTGTACTACTTTTTCTTGACTTAATAGAAATGGTGAAAGCAGACATTTCTGCTTTGTTTAATGTCTTAGAAAAAAGCATTCAGCATTTCACTATTAGATATGATCTTAGCTGCAGGCTTTTTATGGATACCTGTGCTAGACTTTTTGTCAATGTGACAAAACATCAGACAGAAACAAGTTAAGGGAGGAAGGATTTATTTTGGCTCACAGTTTCAGAGGTTTCAGTCCACCATGGTGGGGAAGGCACAGTAGAGCAGAACAGCTAACATATGGCAAACAGGAAACAGAGAGAGAGGGGATTCTTGTGCCAGCTGGCTTTCTCCTTTTTCTCCTTTTCCCCCTTTTATTCCATCTGTCAACCAGGGATTGTGCCACCAACATTCAGGGTGGGTCTCCCTCCTTGTTTAATCTCTGGAAACACTCTCAGAGACACACTCAGCAGTGTGCTTTACCAGCCTCCTAGGCATTTCTCAACCCAATCAAGTTCTTGCCCTAGCTTGTTGAGTTTTTATCATGAATGGGCACTGAATCTTGTCAAATACATTCTCTGCATCAATAAAAATGATTGTATTTTCCTCCTTTATTCTTTAATGTAATGAATGACAGTAATTTGTTTCAAAATGCTAAACCAACCTTACAATATTGAGATAAACTCTAGAGTTACAATGCATTTCCTTTCTCACGAATTGCAGGATTGGACCTTCTAACTTTTTGTTAAGGGTTTTCTCATCTCTGTTATGAAAGTGGTCTGTACAATCAAAGAAATGTACTGCCCAGGCTCCTTAAGCTCAAAAAAAAAAAAAAAGAAAAGTAGTCTGTAATTTTCTTTGATTACAATGTCTTTGACATGTTTTGGTGTCAAGAATAAGCTAGCCTTAAAACAAGTTAGTAGAATGGCTCTTTTAAACAAACTTGTAGCTTGGGCACAGCGGCTCACTTCCATAATTCTAGCTACTAGGGAGTCGGAGATCAGGAAGATCTCCAACTTTGAGGTTCAAAGCCAGCAAGGAAAAAAGTTAATGAGACTCCCATCTCAAGCAATAAAAAGTTGGGCATATTGGTGTGCACCTGTCATTCCACTGTGTGGAAAGGGTAAAAGGGAGGAATGCGGTCCAGGCTGGCCCAAGCAAGACCCTATTCAAAAAATAACTAAAGCAAAAAAGGTCTGGGAGTGTGGCTCGAGCAGTACAGCACCTGTCTAGCAAGCACATAGGCCCAGAGTCCAAACCCTAGTACTGTCAGGAATAAAAAAGAGCTTGTGCTAAAGGCAATTTTTAAGAAGTAAAAGTAAGCAATCATTGCCTGAATTTACATTATTATTACTCTAATGGCTGAAGATATTAAAACCACAGTGTTTTAATATCAAGACAAAAATCAAGATATTTTAGAAGAACTCTTGCTAACAAGTTAATTTCTGTCTTAAGGACTAAGAAGTTCTCTCTTACGTACTTTTAAATCAATTACTTAAGGGAAAATAGTTTTTAACTGCTTTTGGCTCCAATCTCAAATTTTTTTAAATAGGTAACCCTCATATTTAAATAACGATTTCTTTAAATGTTAAGCATCTTTTTCCCCCTATGCTCAGATTATAATCTAGTTGGGAAAATATTTCTTTAAAAGATAAAAAATGTTTTTATACATTTAAATAATAATGCAATGTAACAGAAGAGACCTCTCAATGCAGAAGACAATTCAGTCTTCAGGAGTTAAGGAATATTACTTCAAGTTAATATAGTCAGGTAAAGCTTTATAATAAAGGAGTAAAAACTGCGTATGTCCAGAGTAAATGGAAAGGAGAAGGAAACATGTCCACTGAGGGCTGACAAAAGCGTGAAGGATAGAACGGTATAAGCTCAGAGGAAAGGAAGCAAGCAAGTCTAGCTATAATGTCATGGCTAAGAGTACAGATCCTAAAGCTAGACTGTCTGCCTTTTGAAACTGGCTTTGTGGCTTTGCACAAATTGCTAAACTTTTTTTATACTCCAATTTCCTTTAAAAATTTCCTTAAAACTTCCCACTGTGTTTGAATTAAATGAGCGAACAGAGATAAAGCTTTTGCAACAATGTCCAGCACAAAGAAAATGCCCCAGAGTAATTTAAAAGGAGAAGTCACATAATCTCATGAACCAATGCCTTCCAGTTCAGTTACATAAGATAAATGAAGTATACACTGTTTGCCACTAAGCACATAGGAATAGTCTTCATTTCAAAACAGCGGTGTTTTCTTCCATTTTTCTGGAAGCACACATTCTCATGCAGTGTAGCTTTGAATTTCCTACTCTTAATACAGACACGAGTTCAAAAGCATTTAATTTTCATTTATTTCTGTTACGAGATTAAAAACAATAAGGCAAAACACAATGACTGTGAGAAAACTGGTCCTCCAGGTTTGACATGACTGTTGCCATTTTGAGGCAAGAGTTGCCATGATGACTGACCAGAGACCCCACAGCAAGAACATAAACAAAACTATACATCAAACCAGTGGGAGAGTTGACACCGAGACTGTTGGTGTTCCTTTGGGTAAGGGGGCAAGGGTTACTATAAATAATTGTCCTCCCAGAGCCACCGTTAATCACCACTCTGCCTCTGCTTGCTTCTGGTAGATAAAAGAAAAACATAATTGGCGGGGAAGGGGGCTTTGGTGAAGCAGCTGCCAGAGTCACCCATCATGCTGTAAGTAACCCCAAATAAAACTCATTCACTCGACAAACTGAATGTGTCTGAGTCATTCTTTGGGCTATCAGCATCATCCCAGTGCAAAGGAAGATGCTTGTTTTAAGTCTCCCTAGGACATTCACATCCAGAAAACAGTGATAAATGACAATGGATACTGGTCCTTGATCAGGCAGTAATAGGAAAGGTTAGAACTGTAGGGAACTGGAGAAGAAGGCCCCATGTAAAGAAAGACATTGACATTCATTCTTAGTTACTGCTGAGCCAATACTGTAGCCCAGTGTTGCCAGATCTCAACACCAGGTAAAGATTGAGAATTTTCTGTGAAAGCTCATGATTTTTACATGTAGGTAATTAAAAAAACATAAATTGCCACCATATGGACCATCCCTGTACCAGTCAAACAGAACATGTCTGACTGTTAATTTTATCCATGTGCTACAGTTTACCATATGTGACTTAGGAAATGGTGGCTAAATAACAAATTTGAACTCAATCAAATTAAAGTTAGATTAAGATACTCTGGATTGGTGTTACAGGGCAGTATTAACCTTTTCAAATCCATGACCTTCTACCATGCTTTCTAGTGCTAGGGGTTTTTTTTCTGCATAGAAAACAGAGTTTTTTAATCAAGGTTTTTTTCCTGTACTTACATGCTTTTACATATTAAATATGCTTTGTCAGTCTATTCTCCCTTTCACCAATGAATCCAGTAACATCTCAGTAGTTGATGAATTATTTGTTCTCTTTCTTTCTCTGTCTCGCCTTCCTTCTCCCATTCTCCATCTCTCTCTTTTCCAAACACATAATCACATTATACAGCCACATTACAGGCAATGGGGGTCAATAGCAGCCTTCAGAAATAATGCTAAGGGTTTTCTTACCCTCAAAATATTGTGAAGCACTTTGATTCTACAGCAAGGATTCAAAATAAGTATCACAATCCAACATTGCATAAATGATTAACATTTAATGGCACAATATACCTTCCAAGAAGAATAAAGTGATCAAATGATATTTTAGGAGAATCTGTATCATTAGCAAGAAAAAGTTAAAATATTTTCATAACATATGTGGAAAGTAATTTCTTATTTTGCATTTGCTATATCCATTACTCTTAAAAGTAAACATAAGTGACACCAAAAATGCTTAAAACTGAAAAAGAAAGTTTTATTATTCTCAAAATTCCAAGAATACCTGAAAGCAAGGGATTAGACCACCATTTTCATTTATTTTCAGTGTAAATATTTTAATGACCATGGGAAAAAATCGAATAAATTTAAGTGTCAGTATAAAAAATCCAGCTATCTTTTTTATGGCTCACACTTAGAACAGGTTACAAATTCATTTACATGCTCATTTCCTCAAACAGAATTAATAAGTACATAATCCAGCAATATTTCAAGTGGGAATATGTAAATTTTGGCAGTGTAATGTTCTCTCTTTCAAAGACTACTGATGCATTCCTACCAAAAGCATATAATCCATCTCTTCAGATTTAGATTAAATCAAACAAACTCAAATTGAGGAACATTCTACAATGCAACTAGCTTCTTCAAAAGAATCAATGTCATCTTCATTACAAATCGAAGTTGAGGGAAGTGTTTCAAATTAAAAACTAAACACAATTGACAACTAAATGTAACAAAGATCATGGGCTGAATCCTGAATCAGAGAGATTCAGGATAGTACAACTAGCAAAATCTTTTTTTTTGTTTTGTTTTGAAAATCCACCATGATTTAATTTTTTTAATTAATTTTTTTTACTTTTTTTCTCATTTACTTATTTATTGTTTATTGTTTTAGTATTCATATGTGCATACAACGCTTGGGTCATTTCTCCCCCCTGCCGCCACCCCCTCCCTTACCACCCTTTCGCCTCCTCCCTCTCCCCCTACCCCCTCAATACCCAGCAGGAACTATTTTGCCCTTATCTCTAATTTTGTTGAAGAGAGAGTATAAGCAATAATAGGAAGGAAGAAGTGTTTTTGTTAGTTGAGATAAGGATAGCTATACAGGGAGTTGACTCACATTGATTTCCTGTGCGTGGGTGTTACCTTCTAGGTTAATTCTTTTTGATCTAACCTTTTCTCTAGCTCCTGGTCCCCTTTTCCTATTGGCCTCAGTTGCTTTTAAGGTATCTGCTTTAGTTTCTCTGCGTTGAGGGCAACAAATGCTATCTAGTTTTTTAGATGTCTTACCTATCCTCATATCTCCCTTGTGTGCACTCACTTTTATCATGTGCTCAAAGTCCAATCCCCTTGTTGTGTTTGCCCTTGATCTAATGTCCGCATATGAGGGAGAACATATGATTTTTGGTCTTTTGGGCCAGGCTAACCTCACTCAGAATGATGTTCTCCAATTCCATCCATTTACCAGTGAATGATAACATTTCATTCTTCTTCATGGCTGCATAAAATTCCATTGTGTCTAGATACCCCATTTTCTTAATCCATTAGTCAGTGGTGGGGCATCTTGGTTGTTTCCACAACTTGGCTATTGTGAATAGTGCTGCAATAAACATGGGTGTGCAGGTGCCTCTGGAGTAACCTGTGTCACGGTCTTTTGGGTATATCCCCAAGAGTGGTATTGCAGGATCAAATAGTAGATCAGTGTTTAGCTTTTTAAGTAGCCTCCAAATTTTTTTCCAGAGTGGTTGTACTAGTTTACATTCCCACCAGCAGTGTAAGAGGGTACCTTTTTCCCCACATCCTCGCCAACACCTATTGTTGGTGGTGTTGCTAATGATGGCTATTCTAACAGGGGTGAGGTGGAATCTTAGTGTGGTTTTAACAGCAAAATCTTAATATGGTTCCATATTCTGATACAAGACTATTCTATCAATACTGGATTTCCTGAACTTAAGGGTTGCACTGAGGCTGTGAAGAACACAAACTGGCAAACCTATTCTGGTAAAGGGACAGATAATATATACTTTAAGTATTCAGGGCCACATTTCTTTGCTGCTTTTTGATTTGTTTTGTACAAAATCCATCCTTAGCTCAAGTGTTAAACAAAACAGGCTAAGAGGTAATTGTGGCTCCCTACCCATAGTTTCTATCCCTGGCTGTAGACAATGTCTTTGTTCTTAGGAGATACACAGGAAAACATGCAAAGTAAAGGGTAATGATGTCTGTAACTTGCTCTCAAGTGATTCAGCAAAAACAATTGTGATAACTTATGTGAGAGAGAAATAAAAGGTATGGCAAAATGTTCATAACTTACAAATCTAAGTCAAAGATAAAGACAGTTCATTCTACTATACTTGCAAATCTGCTTTAAATTTGAGTTGTTTTATTTTTTTTTAATAAAAAGGTAATGTTTAAGAAAACTGAAGCCTTAGCTGTCCCTAGGAGGGTTGAACCCAGAAGCCTTAGTGGGTCAGAGAGAGAATGAGAAATCTCACAAAGCAGATGGTATCTGTCATTAGGGTCATTTCAATACATACCCATGGGTCCAAAGGTATCTAGATTCTCCTGTCATTACCAACAAACTCCGACAAGGTAACATAACTTGCACTGTGATGCCCTCCAGATTCTTAAAATCCATGACAATCTTGAAGCAAAGACAAAAAGCATAAAGTTCAACACAAAGTTTTATGCATGCCAGGGATTAAGGATGATTCACTCATTCTGGCCATCTTTCTAGGCTGATATTAAAACCTGACAATGTTTATCGAATACCTTAATACAGTAGTTCTTCAACTTCACTGAACATGAGTCAACTGAATCACACAAACACACACACACACACTTCACCCAGTGAGATCCAGACTGAACAGACCAATCTGCATTCCTAACAATCACCCCCAAGAAAGTGCAGAGCAGTTGGTCTGAGGATCACAGCACAGAAAACACTAAGGCAGTGATCACACACAAGAATGCGGGAGTACAAACGCTCATACCCTGGCTCTTCTGTTTACTAGTCATGTGAGCCAGGGAAAGCCCTTTAACCTCTCTGTGCCCTAGTTTTCTCCACCCTCCCAGGATTGCAACACTGATGAAATAAATAACTATAAATCATAGTGCCTGGCATATAGTAAATACACAAAAAGTAGCCATTCCTTTTTATTATTCATAGAATGATAGTAAGTAACAATCCCAGGAGAAATTCTCAAATTGTTCATTTTGCATCTTGAAAGTCATGGAACATACTGGAACTAGCTGCTGATTATGAGATGATCAAAGAACACAGGAACATTTTCAGCAGCTTTTCCTAAGTTATACTTAAATATTATTCTGAATAGCAATCTGTAAACATGCAATACCCAGAAAATGTTTTTGTCCTAAGAGGTCACTGAGTGCCAAAGACTTCAGTCTAAAACTAGCTGTAACTGAGAAATGAGAGTTGAGAAGTCATGCCACGGGACTGAAAATATTCTAAGTGAAAAAAATCAAAGCGTTTGAAAAATAAGTGTGACAATAATGTGTGAGATGAAGAGAATTTAGCATAGCACCTTCCCTGAAGATAAACTCAGCACAGTACCCAACATGAAGTGAGCATTCGATAAACGTAACTGAATGTTACTGAAACTATTAAAATAATGGATCAGACTAGATTATGCACAAGGAAATATTCTGTAATCTATAAAGAAATACACAAATCTAAACTATTTCCCTTCATCACCTATTCTCTTAATCTAAACATGGGAAGTAAAGGGTAGCACTTAAATCCTAAGTGCAAGCACACTCTACCACTTGAGCCAGCCCTCACCCCTTTTTACTTTAGATAATTTTCAGACAGTTTCATGTTTTTGCCCAGGCTGGCATGTACCACAATCCTCCTATTTATACTTTCCTATAGCTAGGATTACAGGCATGCCTCACCATGCCTCCCCAGTAACTGGGATTATAGACGTGAGCTACTATGCCCAGCAAATAAGAGTGATGATCTTCAAATAGGGAAATTTCAGTTTAAACAAATGTTTGTAACTGATAAGAGGAGTGTTAACATGAGACTAATTAACCTGGAAACATTTGCCTTGACATTTACAACCTATGTTTCAAGGAAGAAAATTACACAAACCAGTCAAATGTTGTGAAAAGAATGTTTTAAAGATGTATAAAATACTAATTACTAATGATCACTAATGATCACAATGATCTGTCCTTCTTGTCTGCTACATCTACTGAGTAGCTACTTTTTAAAACATTATGTTAAGGACTGTCAAAATTAGACCAGTTAAGTCACCTCATATGTTGTATCAAAATACCAAAGCTAGTCGTTTATACAGTCAATCAACATTATGGCAGACACCACCAGGTATGAAACTACAAAAAAGAACTAAAGCCTTCAAACTCGCACTGTATTTTTCTAATAATTATTCTTAAAAACTAGTAAGAAAAATAATTTTCCAACACAATAATAATATGATAATGATATATGCTTTAAAAACACATTTTAAATGTAGGAAATACAAAAGAAGGATGCAGGAAAACATAAAATACCCACTATGAGGCCTGCCAGGGAAAGCCTTGTAGCTGTCTAGCCTAAAAGCTCACACTGGATTTCAGTCTGGAGCCACACTCCTCACAATGCACAGTTCCTTCCCCATCGGTCCTGAGTCATTGTAAGCTGAAGTTGGCAGTGTTTGTATAATATGCACAAATCACAAAGTGAAACAAAGACAGTTATGGCTGAGTTCATTTTGTGCAGCTTCTTCTGCTCTGGTAAAAATGTTCACAGATGTACTCACAAATACACAATACAAACTTTTAAGTTTGGTCATTCCACATATAAGTTTTATTCTTATATTTTGCATTTAAAATTGGTATCACACAATCTAAATGGGAAAATTTGTTCCAATATTTTAAAACTTAAGACTTCTTTACTATGAAAGGCATTAACTAGCAAATAAAGACAACCTTGACAAGATGAGGGAGTCCAGAGAAGAAAAGAAAATACTTTCTATTTTAGTACCTTTAGTGGTACTTTTTCATTTTGAACTGGGCCTCCCAAATCATACAGCCAGCCCTGGAAGTTTTGTAATTTTTTAAATCCTGACAACCTATTGCTTTGTGCTTATTAAACACAAAAATATCATCTATTTCTTTGTGCGCTTACAGAGCCCTCATCCTGGTTAGATAAATATTCACCCGTTTTCTTTATTTTCTGTCATTTTTTACATTTAAATCTTTATACACCTGAAATGTATAATTTGACGGTTATCATTTTTTAATTTAAGGAAATACATTTTATATGATTAAATGTAGATTTCTTATGAACACTTTTCCAATGCTTGTTAAAACACCAAAAAAAAAAGACTCAAAAATTCACAATCAGTAATTGCCCTGCAGTTGCTGAGTTGTTCTGCCACGTGCGGCTTCATTCACAAGAGCTTTTCCAATTATTCTTTTTGGTCTTACCTATTTTCTCTACTTTCTGAGATGGCAGAGCCAATAAAGATCAAGTCCCCAGCAAGCTCACGGGGCATGAATGAGGATAATGTTCAGTTCAAAGCAAACAAACAGACATCCTAGACATTCTCATCTTGCACAGCCTTTACACATCCAAAATGCAATAGAAGATCACCCCAAAGACAAATATTATTCTAGCACCCCCAAAAAAAGAGTCCCAACAGGAAAGTACATGAGGGAATAAACAGAGCTCCATGTCAGCTAAGCAGAACTGTAAAGAATATATTGCTACTGGGAACACTTCTGCAAAGAAGACAAACGTAATACTGATCCTTAATGGGGAGAAGTAGGCTGAGATCATTAACCTTTTGAGAGAAACCCTGAAGAATATCTGGGCAAGTGACAATTATGACAAGAAAAATGACATGTGATTCAGAGAAAATGATGAAAGCTGAGAGGCCAAAAGTCACTTTTAACTGGAAAAAATACTTCATAGCTCAAAGTCCACCTGTTTCCTACAACCAACCAAGTGTAAGTCTTCTATAGTTGTACTAACATCTTCATTTGACTCAAATGAAGTAAGATTTTGTTTTCTATTTTAAATAGAAAACAGAAGAGTTCACATACCTTATTATAGACAGACGTATCTACTATGTCTGGACAAGTGGGAAAGAATAGAAGGAAAGGGGAGACAGACTCAAAATTGCCAGGATTTAAGATTAGAACTACAAAGATTTATAAAGAAATACAGCTGTGCCAAAAAATGTGTGCATGTATTTTCACTGGATTTACAAATTTAGATTCCCACTTCTATCATGAGATAATTTGTTAATTGTGAGGGGTAAGAGGAACTTGGAACACTTTTTAGTAAAATAAATATAATTTTCTGTCTCTCAATAAAAGATGATACTCTCAGAAGTATACCCTGCTAGAAGAGAAGTTTATTGGTATGCCATATTTCCCATGGTCAAAGACTTGACAGTAATTCTGCTCTGGAGATGCCTTGAAAACCAATGGCTGATATCTAAGACCCTTAAACTTCAACTTATGCCATATATCTTGCTCCTTTAAGATAAGTTTAAGGCCTACATCCTGAAATCATCATATAGGCTTTTCCATTTCAAAATGATAAAAAGGAAAAAGAAAACAAAACTCCCTTGTCTTGCACCCAGCAGCAATTTTTATAAGGTCTGAGTGTCTATACTCTGGTCGTGAGAGGGGAGAAATCACACACATTAGAACATCAAGCTGGATTGGCACCTTGTGGCATGGCAGGTACAGCAGGTACACACCAGGGCAGTCCAAAAGCACTGATCTCTTGTTGCTACCAAGAGAGACTGAGCGGCAGAGCACCATTTGATGCTTCCAGTGCAAAAACTGTCCTGACTGATCAGGTTCCATATGTATATTTAGGGTATACATCTGGGAACATGCCTACAGTATTGTACATGTGAGACAAGCAAAATTAGATCAGGCAAAATTTTTAAGAGAAAACATCACAAAAAAAATCTATATTATAACACAAGTCAGCAAATTCCACCTTTTAAACATAACTCTGCCTTCCAAAACCAGATCCTAGCTGTATAATAAACAGATTCTTCTTCTTCACCCCAAATTACTATTTTGTCTGGCTAAGCTCAAGTGTAATATAAAATAAAAAGAGAAGGCAACTTTTAACACAATGATCTAACTACCTTCCCAAATGGCACAATGAAAAGCAAAATACACATTGCATAGGGCTGGTGGAGTGGCTCAAATGGTAGAGTGTCTGCTAGCATATGTAAGGCCCTGAGTTCAAACCCCAGTACCACCAAAATTTAATAACAGAGTACCGTATTTGAGCTGGGCACCGGTGGCTCATGCCTGTAATCCGAGCTACTCAGGAGGCAGAGCTCAGGAAGATCATGGTTCGAAGCCAGCCCAGGCAAATAGTTCTGCAAGATCCTATCTTGACAAATCTCTCACAAAAATAGGACTTGTAGAGTGGCTCAAGGTGAAGCCCCTGAGTTCAAGCCCCAGTACACACACACACACACACACACACACACACACACACACACACACACACACATTGCATAACAGAGAAATTAACCAAAAAAGATGACAGAGATACTTCAGCCATCACTGCACATTCAGTATTATAAATGCTTGGCTTAAATGCCTAAGAGATGATGTACTCATGCTGATGTGTTTACACGG